GGTGAGGCCCTGGCACAGGCTGCCCAGAGAAGCTGTGGCTGCCTCCTCCCTGGAAGGGTTCAAGGCCGGGTTGGACGGGGCTTTGGGCAACCTGGGCTAGTGGTGGGTGGCCCTGCCCGGGGCAGTGGGGTGGGACTGGATGGGCTTTCAGGTCCTTTCCAACCCAAACCACTTCATGGTTCTTTTCTATGATTTTATGTAAGAACACGCTGCCCGGGCCCCCGCACATCAGGACAGGCCAAAGAGGGATGGGTCCAACCACCCAGGTGTCACTTTTGGCCCTGCCACCTTTGCTGTTTGCCCCAGTGTAGCATGGGGGCTCAGGCCTTGGGGAGAATCTTGGGGTCCCCCCTGCCCAGGGCACCTCACCCTGGAGGAACCACCTTCCCCAAGATGTCCAAGGATTTTATCTCAGCTTTCACACTGCAGATGTCAAAATCCACCTGAATCTGGGCAATCCCACCTCAGCCAGCGCTTTCCCTACTTAAAAAAGCTTTTACAAACTTTTATAAAAATATTATTTAGACATGTATAGATAAATAACATACAAACGTTCTTTAAATTGCATTTCAGTATGCGATTGCCCTGTGATTGCCCAGGCTCCCCCAGGCAGGCTGCTGGCAGGAGGTTTTATAGCAGAAGAAAATGAAAGCTTGCAGTTAAAGAATTCAATGTCCCCTCACCCCAAAAAGGCCATTGAATGTCTCGAGCGTGGCCAGAGAAGGGCAACGGAGCTGGGGCAGGGTCTGGAGCACAGGTCTGCTGGGGAGCGGCTGGGGGAACTGGGGGGGTTCAGTCTGGAGAAGAGGAGGCTGAGGGGAGACCTCCTGGCCCTCGGCAACTCCCTGCCAGGAGGGGGCAGAGAGGGGGGATGAGTCTCTGGAGCCAAGGAGCCAGCGCCAGGCCCCGAGGGAATGGCCTCAAGCTGCCCAGGGCAGGGTCAGGCTGGCTCTGAGGAAGGATTTCTGTGCAGAAGGGGCTGTTGGGCGTTGGAATGGGCTGCCCAGGGCAGGGGGGAGTCCCCGGGATCCCTGGGGGGGTTGGAGAGTCGGGCTGACCCGGCGCTGAGGGATCTGGGGGAGTTGGGAGCTGTCAATGCTGGGTGAACGGTTGGACTGGATGATCTTCGAGGTCCTTTCCAACCTAGATGCTTCTGTGATTCTGTAAATGGCGTGGGGGAACGTTTTAGGGTCAAATTGACACAGGGAGCCTGGATTTAGTTTTATGCCGGTTTTTTATCCCAGTATGAAGCGCAGAGGGCGCCAGGAGCTCAGAGATGCAGGTGTGTGACTCCTGCCCGAATCGGGGCCCTCCTTGCGTTTTGTTCTTGCCATGGAAGAAGTGGGCAGGGCTCAGCAGGGATCCCCCACACCGTGTCAAGGCCAGCGCAGAGCTGGCATCGGGCATCCATCCTTCCTCGGAATACCTCGGGCACGGAAGGGAAGGCAGGCAGAAAGAAGTGCAAATGTAGATAAAGTTTTGCCCTTTTCCAGGCAGTGGAATTCAGGTTTTTTGAGGTCTTGTCTGACTCTCTCTGGCTGTATTTAGGGCCCCCAAATTCCTCTCCTCTTTGCTATATGCAGGGGGAACAGAGCGATCCCTTCCTCTTTCCAGCGTCCTTCACACACTGATGAATCTTCCCATCTCCCCCCTTGTCCCACAACCCTGCATCCTACCTCTGAGTGGTCCCACTTTGATTAAGCCAGATGAATTTCTGCCCTGTCCCTCAAGATCCAAGTGTTGAAATTTGACTCATCAGCCTTTTATCCCCTTTGTGTTAATTGCAGGAAAAGTTAATGATGCCTTACACGAACACCCATGACCACCTCGTTGTTTTCATGGAAATGCTTCACTTCAGTTATTTTTCCACAAATGCTGTCCCACAGCAGAGCATTACCCAGCAAAACGCAGGGCAAAATATTTTCTTGCTGCAGAAAATGCAACTGTGGGCAAGAAAGCCCACACCGGCTGTACCACGCTGCTTAGCCACACTTAGGAAACAAATCTCACAGCTGCTTTTTGGGCACAGCTCCTTCTGAAGAGCAGAGATCTGCTGCAAAAAGATGCTGCTGCTAGGATTTCTCTCCTCTGAGACCTCTGCCAGCCTGGACTAATCAGTGCTTCAGAGCTGGTGGAGAGAGATATGAGTTTTCACCTCCCAGTGTAGGCATTAATTTGGGTCAGGTGAAACGCTCTCTGGAGGCATTTCTTTTTCCCATTGACTCTAGAGAAAGCTGAGTACGTCAGGCTGCTCTCCAGAGCTGCAGAAAATGCCCTCTGAGGAGGTGCCTTGCTTACAACACTTACTTACCCCCACTTACTTGTTTGTTAATCCTGTGGCCACTTAAACCAAGTCTAAGAGAGAGCAGGATCCTCACTCAAATTGCCCTTTGGCCCTCAGTTCTCAAATATTTCTGATGCATGATGCCTATGCTGGAGTCATGTGCATTTTATTACTTTGTGTAGGATGTTCCTTAGTCATAACCAGCGAAGGGACAGCCTGCTCTCCATTACAACTTTGAGCCATACCACATTCTTGTTTATGTTTTCTGTTTTAAGGGGATGAAGCACCAGCTCTGCAACCAGCCCTTCCTTCAGCTGCACGTCAGTAAAGAGACCTCACAGCAGCAATAACAGTTTTGCAACAATTTATTAGCAATGTTCAGAGAAAATACAAAATCTTATTTACAATGAAACCATAAGAATGGCTGGACAAAAGGAGCAGGGGGGATACAGAGCCAGGGTCTGGGTGATGCAGACCTCAGATCAAGGACATCCACATGGAGGAAGAGAAGCAGCCCTGCACCTCCCCTGCGCCGACGGTCAGGGAACCCAGGAGGAACATGCCTATAGCTATATCCCACCCCTAATCCTGCGTTACTCAGCCTCAGGAGGACTTCCACCTCTCTGAGCACGTGCATATTCCTCACTGCTTCAGTCCAGGTGCTCTCGGTAGGCCTGGCTTGGATGGACTGCAGGCCCTGGGGTCAGCGCAGGAGAGGGACCAGGACACATGCAAGAAGGGAGCCCTGTGGAGGGGCACGGGAGGGCAGCAAGCCATCCCCACTCGAGTGGCCTGGAGACGGAGCAGGTGCCATGCAAGCTTTTCCCACGCAGGAGCAGAAAGCCAGGACGTAGCAGCAGCTCAGGCAGCGGCAAAGTTACTCCACACCAGAAGGAAAAAGAGCAAGAGATCCAGAGTGGGCTGCAGATCCATGTTCTCCTCCCCAGGTCTCGGGGTACGCAGGGCCAGTTTGGAGGAGTCCCAGTGCAGAAAGGAAGGCTGCAGAGCTCTGGTCTGGATTTGTCCTCCAGAGGAGGAGTTTTAGGACTATTTCAGAGTCAGAACTCATGACATAACTCCACACTCCCTCCTCAAAAGATGGAAAGCAGAAATACTTACAAGGCCTTTTACTGTGAGCAAAAAGAGGCCGCACAGCCAGTCTGCTAGGATATTTCAGAAGTGCCTGCATGGGTCTGAGCCAGAAAATTCTCTCTTTAAACTCTTACTTCATAAACTTTTAGGGTGCCTCCCATTCTGTCCCCTCTCCCAGTTCTGCCTGCTCAGCAATTCAAGGCCCTTGTCTCTCCTCTGCAATGCACTGCAGAAATCAGTGGGTCACGAACTTAATGCTGGCATCACCTAATAGTCTCCTTTATCCTGAAAATTATTTTGGCTTTGCTTTTTTTAAATTGGTTCGGGGGGAGCTGTTAGGGAGGAAGGTTAAATGGAAGGCATCAGTGGCGCTCCTGTGTGATCCTAGACAAGGCCCAGTGCAGCCACAGAAGGGCTGAAGCATTTTTATTCTGCACAGTAACTTTCCTCTGCCCAGCTCGGGGCACTGAACACGTGTGGCAGGAGGATACAAACATGTGAAGGGTAAAAGCCAGGGCAGCAGCAGAGGAGGAATGCGCGGTACGGAGCATTTTGGCAGAGCCTCTCTCGAACACGCAGGGATTGCTAGAGGCAGCTCAGTGACGCACTTGCCCTGGCATTCCCAGAGAGATTGAAGATACGGGTTTCTATCAGCAGCAAGGATCACTTTTTAAATAAGAGCAAAAGGCCTCTTATCTCCACCTGGAGCTTTACAGTTAGAAATTAGCCAGCTAATCCCCCAAAGAGGGGAATGTGAGCAAGGGGAAGATGGAAAGTTACCTGAGCACTCAGAGGTATCTATCCAGTGCTCTCGCCGACATCCCCATCCGGGGGAGCAAAACTAGAAAATGGCCAGAGGAAGAGGCGGTGTTGGTGTTTGCTACAGAGGAGTGCCCATTTTGAGCAACAGACATTCACCCCGGCCTCAGTGTCTGGGTAGTAACCACTTAGGACCATTAATCTCAAGAAGCCAAGAGAATTTGGTGAAGGCATCAGATCCTCATGATGGGTCACAGGATCTCAGCCGCCCATTTCCCACTTGCCTGGCTTTGTACAGGCTCTGAAACTGGGCCTCTTTCTTCTCTTTGCCAATCACCCTTACATGGGATCACAACCCTCCCAAGTGAAGAGCCACACTTCAGAGAGAACTGAAAATGGGTGGGGAGGTGAGCCCACAGCCGATGGTCCTGCTATCCCACTCTGGGAAGAAAAGGACACACTCAGCCCCATGGCCAGACGCAAAGGATACAGAATTCTTCCTGCAGGGGCATTAGGGATGTCCTCAAAGAGGCTGCACGTCCTGAACAACAGGTTCCCTTGTGCCTGGAGGACTGATTGCTGGGACATCCAGGCTATGTGATCCTATGCTCTGCACTTCTAAAAGCAGACGCTATCAGGAATATATCTCTGCAGAGGCCACAAGGCTCCAGATGAGTGCAGGAGAGAAACAGGGGGATGCAAGTACTTCCCTAGCCTTCTCCCTTTCTTCAGCCAGTTTTCCTGCCAGGATCCCAGCAAAATTCCCTACTCTCCTCCCCTTTACTTTATTCTCCATTTGCAGAGCTGGTCTCAGCACTTCAACACCCCATGATATGCAGAACTCAGGCAGGCAACTCTGACAGCCTCTGGGAAAAAGATCACGTTGGGCTCATGCCTCCCGGTCTCTGGTCTGGTTTGATCTCAGTAGGAGTGGAGGGAGCAGAAGAGACATAACACTTAAGCCCTGCTTTGTTTTCTGGGTCACAAAGGCCTAACAGCATATATACAAGCTGCGTAAGGAACCCAGGGGCTTTGCTCAGCTGACTGAATGGAGCCTGCTACTGGGCCAGAAAGGGGGGGGGGGGGGGGGGCGGGGGGGTGTTTTTGTTTGCTTTTTTAAACCCTCTTTTCCTCCTCTTTTAAGGTTTATTTTAAACACTTGAATCTTGCCAGCAAAGAGAAGATACTGCCTTGCTGCACTCACTCCTGGCTGGAGCCAAAGAACTGGAGGAAGAAGGAGAAGATGTAGATGATGTCCAGATAGATATTGAGGGCTCCAAAGATGTATTCCTCTGGGTTCAGTGAGTACCGATGATTCCCCATCAACATCTGAGTATCAAATGCCAGGAACTGTGAAGAAAGAGTAGGAAACCCAATGACATGGAGATTTGGCACAGGGAGGTAAGAAGTGCTCTAATGACAGGAGTTCTCCCAATTGCTTCACTGTACCCAGAACAAAAACTTTTTAATGGGCTGTAACTGCAATTTAAAAGCTCAGAACAATGCACTGAAGAAGCTGCAACCTTCCCCTTCCTTCATTTTGCTCTTCATAGTCAAACCCTGAGCCCAACTGTTACTCCAGGCCTGCTTCCTTCATGCTTCATCCATCCCCAGTGTGCCCCAGGATCAGCTCTGCATTAGTTCTCCCTGCTCTTCCTCAGCCAGCCCCTGTTCCCAGACTTCCCCCAGTTATTTGCAGACTTATTCCCAGTTATCTCCAGTCTTCCCCCAGTTCAGAAACACCTGCCAGGGAACAAGGTGATCTGGATCCCACATGACAGCGCAGCAGCACCACCACCAAAGCAATAAAGAGCAGGAAACCCCAGATCCTGGGCAGCAATGCAGAGGGGAGCAGAGACCTTCCTGAGGTGCAGACACGCCTGAGTACAGGCCAGATTTTACCAGTGAAGCCATCACAGTGGGAACCCCCTGCCCAGCCTGCTGCAGGGACACAGCACTCACAGGAACAAACCTGAGCTACAGGGTGGGCTGCGTGAAAACCTGCGCCTTGTCGCATGACTTCAAGCCAAGTATCTTCTCCCATCTCGCTTTTACTCCCTCTGTTAACGTAGCCTGTGACAGACACCTTGGCACGGAGCTCTTCAGGGCTGGCTGGGCACCTTCACCATCACCTGGGGTCAGCTGACACCTTTGCCCTCCCCAGTCATAAAAAACAACTGATCTCCCCAGATATTGTCAGGCTGAGCTGAGGTTCTGACTGAAGTTTATGGGGTAATTATAAGATGTTTAAGCTTACTTGTATTTTACAGAACAGTCTTTAATCATGAATCACAGAAGAAATATCCGAGCTCACTTGAAATGACTTTTACAGCTAATAAGAGCAGTTGAGCAATTTCATTTATTCACAACATGCCCAATAGGCACCGCCTTGAACCCCAAGGCAGCCCTCCTCTTGACCCCCACCTCGAGGTAACACCAAGCATCTTCCCAGCCACCTCCCACAGCCGAACGGCGAGCATGGCACTGCCGGGGCTTGCTCTGGGAAGAGGCTCACGGGAGGGACGGCAAGGGAGCACTGGAAGGAGTGAATCAAGCCTTTGCAACTTTCCTTTGGAGGAGCTGCCCAGCTTCAGGGCTTTTTCTGCCTGCAATGAATCTTCCTAATGCCCCTTAATCCCAAACCACAGCCTCTCACTCTTCCTGTACCTCAGTTTTAGTGAAACTCATACCCAGTGCTTGGCTCACTCCACTCAGCCAGCCACGACTTGACTTTGCTCACCTCTGCAGCCTCATTTCATCCCCAGTTCCCTTTGAGCCCTGCGAGCCAGCTCCCACGGATGTGCCAAAGCTTGGTCTCTGCTTTTCCCACTCGAGAGATGCCTCTTTGCCCCATCCCTACCCTGCTTTCTGCCGTTCACACCTAGTGTTGCGCATACAGCATGGGTTTGCCAATCACACCATGCTCAGCACCAGCACTGTCACGTACACCAGCACCTTCTCGGGACAGGGCTGAGGTCACTGCAGTAATTGCTATTCATGAGCCATTTGAAGATGTGGAGCTCTCTACAACCCTGCAGCTCACTCTTCTCCCTTCCCCAAGCACCCTTCAAGGCTAAAAGCATTTAGTCCTTCCTTAGTTGCTTATTTTTCCTGCCAGCACATTCCCAGGCCCCATGACCAGCACCCACTTACCATAGTAAATATAATGGCACCAAGCAGAGCGTAGATTGCGTGGAGCCAAGGGACCTAAAGGAAACAAATCCATCAGTCAGTGCCTGGGAGAAAACTGGTTAATTAGGACTTGACACAGAAGAGGGTTTAGCTCTCGTGTGGAGGATACAAGTTAGGGAAAGTGCTCTAATAGCCCAGGATGGACTCACACCACTTCCAGCTCCAACACAGTTTCTGTTGTGGATCTTTTCATGGCAAAGGATGAGTCACTGTGCCTCAGTTTCCCCGTTGTGTCCATTTGGCTCATAAGCTTCTAGATCAGGTACTTGTGTTTCCAAACAGCCTACGGCACCACAGCTGCTGTCTCTGTGGAAAGGTCTTAGCACTGTCCTGGTGGAAACACATTTTGTAGCAGCCCCAGAAGGTGTTTATTTGCCCAGACAAGGCTGATCCCACTGGAAGAAACACCAAATGCTTCCAAGAACTAGATCTAGGTTGAATTAAGCAGAACTTCAATGTGTCCATCCGCTGGAGTCACAGCAGGAAATGCACTGGAACAAAGACCAAAGCCCAGCCCCTGCTTGCTGTGGCACAGTAGCGCACAGTGCTCATGGAGAAGGTGCCTTGTGTTCCAGAAGGTGCCCACACTGACTGCTGATTCAACCAGAGCTCGAAGCCTGCCTCCCCAGATAGACAAGCTCATTACAAGGCTGCCTCAAGCTATGCTTATCTTGACAAGCTGCAAGATAAAGAGTAGTTGTCTCAACAGTTTAATGGCAGTGGCTTGGCGCTGTAAGCTGGTTTACCCTCACGTTTGCACAGGGGAGAGGTGGAACTCAAGCCAAGACAATCAAAATCCAAGCTCCTGATTTTGGAAACAACAGCCTGTGTATTTGTCCATCATCAGCCCAACTCCAGGGCTAGTACCATTGGGAGTATCTTCTGCAGGTCTGGCCCTTAAGGTGTCTCTTGGGTCCCCAGAGGAGCCAGGTGAGATGTGAAGGGTTTGGAGGTCACTTAAAGGCTGCTGTGATCAGAACAGATGGGTGACTTCGCCTTCAGCACAAGCAAACATTCAGGGTGATCAGTGGTGGCTGCACAGCCCCACACACCTTCCCTCTTTCATTGGCATCTTCCAGGGTCTGTCGGGCTCTTGCCTGAATGACGACTCTCCTAATGAAACACTCTTGGATGGAGACCAGACACTCTGTACTGCCACAGCAAACCCTCTATCGGCTGTAGTCACAAGCTGCTCCAAGATTTCAGCTGGGCACAGCTAACGCCAGCTGGAAGGGGCTGGGCCCGTGCCAGAGGGGCTGGCAGCAGTTGGAGGAGCGATAAGGTGGTCACTCATCAGCAGGACTTGCCCCTGGGATCTGAGTCACCCTCTGGAGGTGCTTATTTCTGAGAAATTTGAGCCTTGGGATTTAAACACTGCAGGACGTTGCCTGGTGTTGGTGTGAACACAGCCAGGTCTGGCCAAACAGGCACCCCACGGCACTTGTCCAGAGTCCAAGTCCTGCCCTGAATTTGGGGCAAGGGCCCTGCATGGGGCAAGGCAGTGTTTTAATGTGCTCACTACCCTGGTTTTACTGGAGGGGAAACCGAGGCACAAGCAGGTGGTATGACCTGCCGTGGGGTCACTATACAGCTCCAGGAACAGAAGCAAACTTCCTCAAGCCCCAGGCCAGTGCTGTCCTACAAGCTGATATCTGATTGTACAACCACAAGGCAACAGCCACCTGGTCTTGCCTTCTCCTTCTGTTGGTGTTTCTGCACCTTTTCAGAGAGCAGGCTGGGACACCCCTCCCAAGCCAGGTCCTGGAGTTTGCCCGCTTTAGGCTGATCACCTCCCAGCCTTGCACCAGCACTGGTGGCACTGGGTGAGGAAGGGCCCCAGGTGGTTACTCACGTATTGGTAGGGCAGGATCACAGCCAGGATGATGCCACCGAAGAAGAGCACCATGAGCATCACGAAGAGGACGCCCTGATAGGAGGTGAAGTCAAACTGCGGAGTCAAAGAACATCACGTTACCCGTGTCCACGGGGAGGGACTCTCCAGCAGCACACCCGCCCTGCTGTCATGTGGCAATTGCTTCACCTGCATCCCAGGACCTATAGCCCGATGCCCATCTGCATGGCACAGAGCCAAACGCTTACCATGTCCCCTTTATTGCCACAGGCAAGAACCCAGTACCCATCGGGTACCTGAAATCCAAAAGCCCATCGTACACGTTTGTGCCAGTGCCCTTCTGTACCCCACAGCTTAATCCTCAAAAAAGCCCATCTTACCCTCATCTTCCAGCCCCATCTATACCCCTGACACATCCCTCACCCCAGAATCTGTCCTAATCTTCCTGTAACCTTCACTTTGCACCCCAGCACCCCTCAGGTTGCTCCTGCATCCAGAGCCCTACAGACCTGCCCCTTCCCACCTCACCCCCAGCACTGCCTGACCCTGTGTCCTATCCCAGGGAGATTCTTCTCCCAGAGGGACTTATCAGCACAAGCTCACCTTGGTCTGGAAGCTGAAGATCGTGACAGACAGACACACCAGGGCTGTGATCCCCAGACACAGAAGGACTGACTTGGTGTTGTAGTAACTGCAAAATTAACAGCAGAACCACTTTTCAGTGTTTCCCACAGGAATGGGTAGAAGGAGAGATTAAGACAGGCAGAAGCTTAGCAGAAATGTACACAGAAAACATGAGTCCTAGGGGCACAAACAACACTGAAATGATCAATGTCCCCCTTAACGTAAAGAGGGGAGGATAGAAAACACTAAAAAATACTAGATGGGTTTTCCTGCTGCTTTAAATAGAAGAGGGTAGGCAGGAGGGCATGTCTTTGCCTTCTGGGAACTCATGAGCAGCTCAGATGGGGACTTACTATACAAACCTATCTGTCCGTGGACAGATGGAGAAGGGGAGGATTCATACTAGGAGGGAATAAAAATAGAATGACAAATGTCATTGCAGCACAATGAGGAATCAGAGAGCTGCAGCCACTCTTACGCTACTGATGTGCTCGTAACAGGGGGTTGGGGCTTGGAAAACCACAGGCAAGGAGGGATTTGAACAGGCAGGGAGACCACAGGCTTCGGTTATAATTTTTTTTTATGTCTGACTACTGCTTTTGGTTACAGCAACAGCCCTAAGAAAAGCCAGTCCCCACTCTCCCCTTCGGTTTGATTGGAGGGTGATATTGCTGGTATTTTCCCTGAGTTGCTGAAGCTGCTACTTTCTTTGTCCCCAGCACCCATCCATCAACTCCCACTGGCTCATCTGCCTCATCACCAGGGACCCACGTGAACCAGGGCCGATCTTGTGAGCAGATTGTAACAGTAAAAACACAAGCTGTAGACTACAAAAAAACTGAAACTGCTGGAAAAAAACTCCTCGTCTCACTCCGGCCCCATCTGCTAGCGTGCTGCTTCGTGGGAAAGGTGCGATCACGGTGTGTGGCAGCTCCCTATAGCCCATCCCTGCAGGCGCTGCCTTGTCCCTGGCTCTCTAGTGCCCATCTGCAGGATTCAGCACCGCCAGGAACTGCCCTGTGCTGCCTCGGCTGTGCCAGAGGAGGAGATGTCACCATAGGCCTTGGAGAGCTGCTTTAAAATGTATTTTCAAAAGGGAAGGTCGGGCCTTGTGTGGCTGCTGGAACAGCTCCAGAGAGATCAGGTGGCCCATATATTTCAGAAGTAGGGAAGGTTTTTGTTGCAGGAAAAGACAGGACATAGGACCAAAAGACATCCAGAGACCACGTGCTCAGCCTACCTGGAGAGCATCCCAGTGAGATAAGCCATGGAGAGTGTCTGGGAAGGAAAGAGAACCACATTACTTCTGCATTCATGTCCCAGGGAGAGACACGCAGCAGATAAAACATTCCAATTACAGTGATAAGTGCAGCGAAACCTCTTAAACAGATGCTCAAGAGAAGCAATTTTTGCATAGTTTCTAATCCTCCAGTGATTAATATCCACAGGGCAGGTTAAAACGAGGGCAAGCCACCGCCCTGAGAGCAGTCCCACCTCTCCATCCTTGTACCCCTCTTGCACAGGACTCGAGCACCCTAACCCAGCTCCCATCACCGACCAGCCTCCACAAGTTTGGGGGTTTTTTGTGTGTGTTGTTGGTTTTTTTTTTCTTTTTTTAAACAGAGGTTCCTTTCTTTCCTGCTTATCACATTCTAGTTCAATTACAGCTCCTCAGCCCAAGTGCAGGGCAATTAGAGGATGAAATTTCTGCAGGAATCCAGACCAAACGTCTCTCCTGCTTGGTGCCATTATGAAACCCACGCTGGCTGCAGGGGCAGGGCAGATGCTGTCCAGATGTGCTACTTACAAAGATGCTCAACAGGATCAGATTCCATGGGAAATACCTCCTGCAAGTGAAGACACAGTGGCTGGTCAGCCCTGCGACACGGAGGGCAGAGGTAGACAGCAGCGCTGCACAACAGGTTGCGTAAGACGTGCCATATAATTAATGGCCTGTGCAGCCAATGGCAGGGGTGGTGCGAGGGGACAGTCATCCCGTTGGGAATGAGAGTGCATTTGGGGTGCTCCTAGACCAAGAGAGTAAACGTCCCCATGATATTCTGGCAGAGCAGCCAGCAGTGCCCTGCTCTGCTGCGAACAGACCACCATCCCCTGCAGTAACAAGAGTTTGGAGCTGCACCGTGATGCAATATGCTGCAACGTAACTTCCTTGCCAGCTGCACCTTGACTTCAGCTTTTAATGCTGGGTTGCAGCAACCCACAACTGCATCAGGCCCGAAAATACAGCTGCCACCTCAGTCCCTACATCACTGCATCGGCGTGACCCCATCCCATCTCCGCAACATCGTTGGTCATGCTTGAAACCAGAGGAAAACATTCATCCTTTGTTTTGTGGGGCTGTTTCAAAACCAAAAGGAAAATGTTTTACCTGGGTCCAGAGCAGCAAGCAAGAATCAAGTAGGTCACAAAGAAAACAGCACTGCAAAGAAGAGAAAAAGAGCAGTTAGGGAGGAAAAACCCAGGTGTTGTGTGGTGAAACAGGAGAGAAGCCTCCAGCTGACAGGTTTCAGTGCCCTGCTGCGCTGTTTCAAATGCCAGCACCGTGCCAGAGATGAAGCTGGGTAGGAATTGGGGCAAATTCTGCTTCTCACTGAAGCCGTTTTCTGCCCACAGCTGCCTGCTTTTTGCCAGTCCCCAATCTGGGACAGCACAGACATCCCTGAAAAACCCAAAGGAGAGTTTTAGGGCAGAGCAAGGGTAGCGTTCAGCTCCAGGATAGATGGAGCACCCACACGTGTTCCTTGTTGACACCTCGTCCATGCAGGAATTACTCATGCGGAGGTGGCCAGACTTTGCCCCTCATTTCCAGGCACTTCCTGGCTTGGTGGGATCAGGGCATCCTGCTGGAATTCCAGCAGCACTTAAGCCAAGATTCACAGGGCTGGCAAAAGTGACTTGCCTAAGGCCAGGTGGAAGGTCTGTGTCGGAGAAGGGAACTGGTCCCATGTTACTGCCCCAGTAGAAGGCTCCTCTGAGGTCAGTGAAGCTCGCAGACCCAAGCTTAATATGCTGTTGCACAAGCCATCCCCGGGTCACAGGAGAGTTATTTATCTCACATGACTTGACCCTTCAGTAAAGTAAAAAAAAAAAAAAAATCCAACAGCTGAGGGATGGTCTCCCTCTGCTCTGGATGTCACGCAGCCCGGGTGTTTTTCCACAGTGCTGATGGGTTATGGCACAGTGGGAACCTGCTTTCACCCAGCGCCTGGGGGGGGGGTGAGCAGCTTCCAAGCATGCCGATGGCTGCACGATAGCCACTCACCTTAGGTCTAATAAATGAACATGACGGCAAAACCCACGGGCCATGATAAATGCACCAGAGATAAACCTGAGCATTGCTCTCCCACGAGGAAACCAGGAAAGCGGGAGTGGACACGGCTGAACAGATGGAAAGAAAACAGGGAGGGAGCGAAGAGAGCCGCTGCAGTTGTCCAGCTCCCTTGTTGCCCATCTGCGCTTGCTTTATTCCCTCTGAGCCATCACCCCAGCAGTAGGAAAGCACCCTAGGGCACCCACTTTTATTTTGCAGAGGTGTATAGAGAGTTGGGGGTCTCTGTGTATGAAGGAGATCCAAATCCAGATCAGGACAAGCGATTGGAGACGCTGGGGTGGAGGGAGGGGTTGGCTCGCTGGGACCTGAACGGACAGACAAAACTGAAGTCCCTCAGGTACACAACTACCCCCAGCTGGGCCAAGACATGTTTGCTCCTACTGAAAGTCAGGAAAATAACTGCTAACTGGTCAGTGAGCTGCAAGAGATGAACCCAAAGGTCAAAGCATGGACCTGAACAGAACTTGGGCTCGTCTCCCTGCAAGGCATCGCTGCTTCTCCAGTCTACCAACGGGCCAAGGAGAGCACGTTATTTTCCCTTGAGGTCAAAGAGGCTGATGTCAGTTCCTTTCTATTACTGCTAGTTTGGATCTTTTTTTTTGAAGTTATATAAGCTGGTGTCTCATCTCCGGGCCTGGACACATTTCATGATTTGGGTGTGAACTAATTAAAGCCAAGTTCACAGAGCCTTGTTCACAGACAATTGCATCGCACACTCTGCCTGCTTAATTAGCAGCACTAACACAAGCGGCATCCAGGAAATGCACGGGAGCACAAGCCTACGCTGCCTCCAAACTGACCTTTCAGACCAGGCTCGGCTAACGAACGGCATCCCAAACTCTGGGCACCGACAGCAGCTCCGTGATGAAGATCCAGACATGACAGCCCGGCTCCGACACAGCCAGAAACATCCAAACACCTCCAGATGCACCCACCCTCCGCCCCCTTCACTGCCTGCACCCCTCTTCACACCTGCTGCTTATCAAGACGTGGGATGTGAGCCCAGGTGACCTCCCCGCATGCAAAGGGACAAAATGAAGCCCCCGAGGTACCCTAAGCACCCTTTCAGGTCTCCCATCTGGGTTTCCGTGCCGTTTTCCTGGAAGCTGCTCCATTTTACCTGGTTTGCTCTGCAAGCAACACTCACATATTTACTTGGACCCCAGTTTGCAGAGACCCTCTATTGGAAGGATTTGGAGGTATCCAGCTTCTCTCATGTCTCATTTAGGTGGGATTTTCTATATTCTCACCTCAGGAACCATTAATTTCCCCAGCTTCCCCTGCACACATATCACATGCAAGGTACAAAAGGGTTTGAAAAGTGTCTCCACATCACCGCAGCCGCATCCAGAGCTGTTTGGACCATACGTGGCCACAGGAGAAGACAGAGATACTCACTAGGAAGCCCAATACCAGGCAGAGTGTGTCTGAATGTACCCCTTGACCGGCTCGCTGCAAGACAGAGAAAATGAATGCTGAGCAGAAAGCATAAAAAACCCGATCATTTCACAGTTTGCTGCTAAATTAAACCTGGGAACACGCACAGGGTGATGCAGCACAGGGTATGTGAAAAAAAAACAAACAACCCACACTAAATCTACCCAGCAGACTGACCAACTGGAAAGAAATTCAACCTGTCAAGTTGGAAAGACAGCCCCGCTGTTATCAATTACACAGTCGGGCTTGCTTGGGGAACGGCCGCTGCCTTCTCTGAGAGGTGATTAAGGAGCTGAAATCCTCAGGCTGACAGTGATTCATTATTTATTCTGGAGGCAACGTGAGCCACACATGCCCAAAATGCTCAGTCATCTGAGCTAGAGGCAGCTGCTGCTCGAGTGTGGGGTATCTGCTTCTGCAAGGGGAGGTAACTCAGCCCCTGAAGCTGAGGTAGGCTGGGATCTGATGGCCTTGATAACTCCCAAAGGAAAAATACAGCAGTTAATTTTTAAGGGCAAGCAGCCTGGGCCTCTTGGCTGGGGATAGCACCCAGAACGGACAATGCACCATCCTGAGGACGTGCAGGCAAGGTAGCAGAAGTACTGAAGGACCTCTCGGGGTTCTCCCAGTTTTGTTTTTCTATTGGAGCACACTGGGAAAAAAAAAAAAACAACAACCAACTCGGGTATCTACATAACAGACAACACCCCCAAGTAACAGGTAATTCAGGATCAGGTCATACGCTGGACAAAGCAAGCATTACTGCTACACAAGAGACCTACCAGAAGGTGAAGAAAGCCACAATAACAAGAGTGACCAAGAGTTGGACCATCAGGATGGCATAAACCTGCAACGAGAGGCAGCCCATGGGTGACCCACAGACCCTCTGCTTCCCACCCAGCCCAGAAAACCAGCGAAGCCATTGCAGCCAGGTCCCTCCAAGGCTCAGAGCTGCTCTCCTGCCTTCACAGGGGAAGGCTGAGCCTGGAGAGACTTGCCCCTTACCTTCCTGATGAACACTCTGCGCACATTCCTGTCATCCCAGCTGAAGGTCGTGAGCATCTCTGTGTCCCCTGGGTACCCGCTGCTGCCATAGCTCGGGCTTGTGCCTGAAGCAGAAGCCAGACAGATCAGCTCCCGTCACCCCGTCCCCTCCCCAGCTACAACAATCTGACCCCAGTGATTGACTACAGCTCAGGAGGCCCAAATTTCAAGGTTTTCTGGTTGCATTGCAAAGCAGAAGCTTGCTGGGGTGCATTCTTCTCCCTTCCCGCTCCTGAATCTTGTCAGGACCATCTCCAAGAACAGAGAGGGGAAACCACTTCTGCAAACTCCAGCACAGCAAGGACACCAGGGGCGATTCCTGTCGCTGTAACACCGTATCCTTAACGGCAATTAGAGGGCTCGCATCACATCCTCGCTCACCTTTCACTGAATATTAAAGCATCCCCCAGAGGAGCTGTGACTCAGCACCTCAGTCATTCCGTCAGGAGCTCTGGTGCAGGAGGATTCCCTCGCTGCTCTGTAATTGCCTGGGCTTAGACTCTGTCTGCATCACGTCTTGTGTCAACACTGTGCCCTCTCCTCTGAGACAAGCTGGTTACAGCCAGCTTTTCTGTACGGTCCATCCTCAAATCTGATTTCTGTGTGGGGAGCCAGAGCATGGTTGAGCAACAAGCCTAAACACAGGGGAAACAACTCCAGGGCTACTGCTGAGGGTACCTTCCCCCCACATCATCGCACCACACAACCTGGCTCTGCTTTGTGAAGGCTCTGTAATACAAACTCTTGGTGCTGGAGTTTCCCTGCAGATGGGCAAGGGGGAAGGCTGGACCGTAAAGCATCAGTTTGCTCTGTAACCTGAAGGGAGATGGAGGGAAATACTGGAAACCTTCTGCCGGTGGGGAGGCGGCTGTGCCGCCAGCCAGGGGTGACGGTGGCAGCGAACACACTGCAGGGCGGGCGGCTGCAAGGAGAAACCCGAAGCAGCAGCTTCTCCCCGCTAGGATCAGCTGCACAGATTAGATGTAAGAATCAGCCTTCTCCATCTGCTGAACCTCATGCTCAAGAAAAAAAATAAAACAAATACCGAAGCCTCAGTTGCCTTAGCACATCACTCCCTGTGCTATTTGCTTCTCTTGCAAAGATCCCCTTCCACGTCACTAACAGCCCCCCCGCCTGGGTTTCCTATAGAATGAAAGCTTATGAGATGACACCAGCTATACATTCACACCCCTGCCCGTTTGACAGATGCCTCCCCTCCTTCTCAGAGCTTTTTAGCTCAGTGATACTCAGATCATTCAGGCAGGTGGAGGAAAGATCCTCTGCAGACACCAGGAAAGCCAAAGCCCAGGTCCTGGTCCTGGATTTCTTCTGTTTTACTGGTCAAAGCTTCCTTGCTTTTACTGCAGAAGATGCCCCTGGCAGGAAATAAATCTCTTGTGCTCTTCTTGTGCCTAATAAATCTCTTGTGCCTTCCTCTACGCCCCAGTGGAGATGAAACTCCTGCAGCGCATCCTCCCTGCGTTTCTGCGAGATCTATCATCGCCGTGCAGGGCTGAGAGCACCTGAGGCCCATATCCCCGGGACGCTTCAGTGCCTCCTGCGTCAAAGCAATCACGGCATCTAAACACCAAATTAGACGCCTAAATGCCTCAGAGGAATGGAGGAGGTTTCCTCCTCCCCGGCTCGTGTCCCCAGCGCTGGTCACCTCCCAGCCAAGGGCCACATCTGAGGCAGCAAGACAGTGTGTCCCAAGCTCATTATTAAAGGAAGCAAAAACACAGACCCCTTCTCTCTAGCTACTTCCACTCTCACATAAGCTGTCAGACACAGCCCCGTGGCACGTGTCCCCCCTGACCCTGGTGCAGGAGCCCCGGCTTGCAGCATGGCTGAGGGCAGGGAAAGGGGAGAAGGAGATGACAGAGGAAAACACCATCAGGGATCAGGGCACAGGACACAGCTGCAGGGAGGAAATCCTGCCAGGCTCGTCAGGGAGGGGACAAGAGGTGACACATCATCTAAACAAGTCCTCCGGGATACCCAAAATACCCATTTGGGCTTTACCTATCCAAAATTCATCATGACAGCGGAAAGACCCAGATGGTTTGTTAGAGCAAGCTGGAAGGTTATTTATCCCCTCTGTTTCTGACCACTGAAGGCAAACGAGAATGGGAAAAGTCCGTGAAACCATTGGAGTGTGCGGGCACACACCTCAGAGGGGTTTAGCTTGCTCTTTCCCTTTCCCTAAACATCTCCATCCCTGCCGCTGCAGCCGTCCCCGCCGCATGGATCAGGCAGTCAAAGCACAGCAGAGGAAGGGGACCGAGCAGAGAGAGGGGACTCAGGAGTCGTTAAACCCAGTCCCTCCAGCGCTCGCTCCAGTTCAAGCTGTGCTGACCAAGCAGTTGGCCACCCCAGCAGACTCGCTTGCCGGCCACTGCGTCCATCCCAGCTTGCCACCACACAGCCGTTCCCATGCCCTGGGCACAGTCGAGTCTTTGTCCACTTGTCACGACCAAGCAGAAGCCACACGCAGCACCCAGGGAAGAAAAGCTGTTTGTTTGCCGAGGAGTCGGCCACCCAGCCCAATGCTGGAACAATCCAGCCTTCAAGTCCAGCCATTTTAGCCTCCCCTGGCTCTGACCACCAGCTCGTAGCAGCCAGACATCACTGGTGCCGCGACACTGATTTTGCCAGTTCAGCGGCTTCTTTGAAAGCCGGGGTTGAGCAGGAGCTCGAGGGGGGGCTGCTGCCTGCAGAGCGGGGAGCATTGTACCAGGACTCTCCCCAGCCCTGGGAGGTGGCGTTGCCCAGCTGGGAGAGGGGATTTTTCCCATCCTGGTAGCGGGGAGGAGAGCAGGGACGGAGCACTGGAGTTCAGTCCCATCTCAGGAAGGCACTGCGGTCTAGTGGTTGGGCTTTTACATATAGATCCAGACTTATATGGCTTATAGCTACAGCTTTGGGGTGAGCTCTACCATGGACCGAACTGGGACCACATCCCTGGTTCCTCTCTTCCCTAACAGCCTGTGGGGGGAATCTCTGCACCCCTCTACCCCCTCTGCCAGGGGCTCACCCTGGGTACAGCCGCAGAAGGACTTACTGGGGTCGACATAAGCCCAGCTGGGGTGAAGCGGCACCGATGGGGGAGGAGGGTAAGCACCAGACTTCAACCCTTCTCCTGCTGTTGCCTCCTCATAGGTTGGAGGAGCTGGTGGAACCGTGGCATTGTCCTTCTTCTCCCCTTGCCCCTCAGAGTTGGGGGGCTTGTTGTTCACAGAGAGCTGCATGGGAAGGAAGGGGACAGGGGGGAAAGAGGGAGATTAGAATGTAGGAACAGCACAGAAACTGCCCCCCCAAGGAAGGAGAATCCCCTGATTGATTGATTGAGGGAAGAGATGAGAAAACACCTGACATGTTAAAGGGGATGAAAAATTACAGGCAGCTGGGTCTGAGGGGAGACAAGAGCCTTGCCCAGTGTCCCCCATGTGCCTCAGGCTCATTTGTAACACTGGAAAACATCCAAATAATTCTCTGCTTTTCAGCCTACTTCTTTCTACATTTCCCCTTAAAAGTGCTTTCAGTTACTGGGCAGAAAACCCTGAACTCCTTCATTTCCACTTACACCCACATCTTTCCTAGCCCCCAAGAAACACTCTGGCTTGGCCCTCCAACTTTTTCTTCTGGCTCGTTTCTCTCAGCCCATCCAGAGGCTCAGCCTCGCTGCTTTCCATATTTTGAAGGTGCAGCTAAAGGACTCAGGATCCCATGTCTTCAGACTATGAAATCCCAGCAAAGAGCCAGCCTCACACCACCTGAGAACTTCCTTCTCCTTGGGAACATTATCCATCTAACCTTCTAGATCTTTGCCATCCTGGGATAAGTTATGAGCCTGGTATCCTGCCCTTGCTGCCAAAGAGGGTGCCAGCTCAGCATCTGGGATAGCAGCCCCCTGGATCACAGGGATGTGGGGCTGGAATCACAAAAAGTCCGAAATGAAGCAGACAGACTAACCAGCCCCACAGACAGAGCAGCCCCTGTAAGGTCTTAAATTAACAGGCCTTTGAAAATAAAGCCCGGGTACCAGGCTGGGATGTGCATCACGAGCAGATCCAGCTGCATCCAGATAACTGCGCCACCTCCTCTGCCAGCTCACAGGGACTGTCCTCGCCCTGTCCTTCATGGCAAGCCCTTGGGTATAGGGTGGCCAATATCCTGAAAAGCCCCCAGAGATACCCAAGGAGATAGAAGAGGGATGGTGCTGCCTGCATCCAGGCATCCTCCCGAATCGTTGTCATGGCAATGGTGCACTGAGCTATGTGTAACCCCCGCCTCCCTGGTCCCGGAGCATTGAGAAGTCCCCAAAATCCGGAGCTCTCTGGACCAGGAAGGAGGTGCTGAGGTGCTCAGGGCAGGTGCTGGGTCCTGACTGCAGCGGGCATGGATGGGGAAACCCAAGCACCCCGCTGAGCTCCCTGGCACCCAGGATGGGTGGAGGAAACGGCCACAGGTCCAAGAGCAGGGTTGAGCTGCATGTCCAGCCCCAGGAAAAAACAGCCCCCAACCCCACAGTGACACAGCCCTTCATCCTCTTCCTCTGCCAGCCCTCCCCCCACCGCAGGGGCCGGCACACCAGGCTGTGCGCAGGTACCCAGCTCCCCCCCTCCACAGCAGCTGCTTTATTCCTTAAACCCTCTCTTCAACCCGCTTCCCCCCTCTGCACATGCAACAGTTACACAAGCAGGACGGACTCACCATGCCGGCGCTGGCCTCCCACCTACCTTCCCCTGGGTCATGGCTCCTCACTGACGATGCTGCCGGACCCTTGGAGCAGCAGCAGGGGGGAGAGGGCCGGAGCTGAGCACAAACCTCCTCCGCGGGTCCCTTCCACCCGCTCTCCCGGGATGTCTCGGGGCTGGCTGCAACCGCCGCAGCCTCTGCAGCCTGCGCTGATGCCTTCACCTTCTAGCAACATCCACGGAGCAACGGGCGCTGAGGGAGGACCGTACCATTCCCAGCCTGCGGCACAGGGGGAAGCCGGGAAAGAAACGGCTCAAACAGGCGAGCGGCCACCGGCACCGATGGGGAGGATGCCCCGACACCCCGACACGGCACTGGGGAGGCAGCAGCAGGATCCCACACCGGGGATGGGGTGGCGACCAGCTGCCCCCGAGATGCTGAACTTGGGGCTGGGATTGCGAAGGGGAGGGAGAGGCAAAGGATGCTTCGCCGCAGCATCTCCCTGCGGCTGTGTGCCAGGGCCGACTGTGGGCCAGGGAGCTGCGGCTTCCACAGGCCCCGCTGCAGGCGGGCGCAGCGAGGAGGGCAGCGATGGGGGGCAGAGGGGAGAGCATGAGCCAAGCTCTGTAACAGGAGAGCCGGAGGGAGGAATCGCGCACACGGCCCTGGCTCCCTTCCTGACCCTTTCCAGGCTTTTGCCCCACGTGTGTTGTCTTCTCTGAAGCGATGCAGCCCCACTTGGGGGGCAAAGGGAGAGTTTGGAGGCATCCCCGGGCAGCCAGCAGACCACGAGCACCACGCGGTCCCCATCACCACAGCAATATTATTAATTCAATATTAGTCCAGCTTATTTCAAAACCTAATCTATCTAATTCAAAATTAGAGTCCGGCTCCCGGCCCAGAGCACATCTAAGGGAAGCAGCACAAAGATTTTACCCTCCCTGACAGGGTCTGGGGAGGGGGAAGGGGGTCACATTACAGTCTGAGGGCACAGGGAGACGGAGACATCTCCTCTTACGCCATAGGCAGCAGGAGGAGGGGGGGAAATCATCGCTTTACATAGTGAAGAACTTCACACGGGCAGAAAATTTGTTCAGGGCAGAGGAAGAAACAGACAGTACAAACACAGCACACCCTCTGCCTAAACACATGGAGAGTCAGGCTTGTGATGAATGAGAGATGTCAGCAGAGCAGCCTTGCACTGTGTTCCCACAAAATAAAAGTACAATTTCAGGCCATTCTAGACTACGCTCAGGCTAGGAGCTGTGCCCCTACATCTCAGCTCTCCACATCCTCTCCCTGGTCCTTCCCCACCCTCTTCAAGTCATTTATTGCTGTCATGCCATAACCATACATCACACCTCAAGTTAGTTTGCCACGGCTATAATACAGGTATAAAAATTAAATCAGCTTGTCTGCCATGGAAAAAAAAAAAAAGACACTGCCACATTTTAGGCTCCTTAAACACAGTCCTAGAAAAAGTGAAGAATGGGCTGTCTGCAAGGAAAGGAGGCTGAAAAGACCATCCCCATTTGCAGCTTCTGTGAAGAAGGCGGTGGAGGGGTTAAAAGGAAAGCATGAGCTGGAAATGAAAGAATGCAGCCAAGCAATGTACAGCTGGCACCCATACAGACCTAGCCCGAGCTATTCAACTGGAAACAGAGAAGATTACCACAAGGACTGCAAAAACTTGTCAGGATTATTCAGAATCAATTAAGTGCCAGTTAACCACAAGCTCTTCAAGGGCTTTTATTCTCCTTGAGGCAGAGCAGAGACATAAATCCGGGCAGGTCCCAAGTGAGGGAGAGAAACTCAGCCCAGCAGGTGAGGTTCTCACTGCTCCAGCCAAGCACAAGGAAACCGTTCTCGGCTTGTTGACCCCCTTCAAGCATGGGATGAGCCAAGAGGTCAAGGGCTTGGGAACAGAAACTCTAGGTGATGCGCAGTGTTGTGGTGAGAAAGGAGACACACATTTCTTAAGGAACTCGAGAGGGACTCAATGCAGCTGCAGTCCCTGGCCAAGCCAGATTCCTTGGTGGGATAATGCAAGGGCCCACATGCTCCATCCCAGGCTGAAGATGCTTCAAAGAGCTAAAATACTGGGTCTCGAAGAGGAAAAACCTGCAAAGCAAAGCAGATGGCACTGCCTACCCAACAACCTTCCTCTAAATAAAAACCAGCAGGGAAGAGGAACCAAACCCCTCCACCACCCTGTTGTTAGAAGGCCCATTCCCACCCCCTGAGCTCCCAGAGGGTGTCTCAGTCATCTCCCACCGCCCAGCCCCAAAACAAATCCAACGCCAGTGGGCAATGTTTCCATGGGGCTTTGAGAAGCCATCGTGTCTTTCCTCAGCCAGGAAAAATTATCTGGGAGAACCCATGGGCTGCAAGGCTTGGAAGAGTCTCATCTCTGCCACGGAGAAGACAAGGATGACACTGCCAGCTGATAGCAGTGCAAAGTAGAGCCCTTCAGCCCTTGCAGGGACCATCCTCCACCAGAAAAGCTGCTCCAAGCCCGGTTCCTTGCTCTCTTGTTTGAGCTGGGAGCTCTTCAACATGACAGCGTCCTACCAACAAGGTGAATTTTCTCTAGATCTTCTCTTTTCCCAACCTCACAGATGCATTAGGAGGATAAGTACACACAAGAGCCACATTCCAGACGGTGATGCTCACACAGAGCATCACAGCAACTGCTCAACATCCCCCATCCAACTCCCTGCCCAACTGCTGGTCCAGCTCAGCATCAGGCCACGCGAAACAGCCATTCACCTGCACACAAGTACCTTTAATACTCAGGGAAAAAAAAAAAAAAAGAAAAAGAAAAAGAAAATCTCTGTCAAGGCCACACCCTGCCAAATCCACAAGGGATTTCACAGGGATTAAAGCAACTTTGCTGAGCACTCAATCACATGAAAAACAAGGTGAAGAAAAACTGATGGGATAATGAAGGGTTTTGCTGCATCAACATACATAATAGCACACCCAGGAGCCCTCTGTAAATATGCTTTCCCCATCCCCAAGAGGGAGAAGCTCCCACTAGCAGTGAATGATCTGCAAATGACTTTAAAAAAGAAACATTCAAAATCTCGGGAATTTACCCTAGGCTTTCAGGCTGCTGAATTATCCATGGATTATTAAGGCTAAATTCTGCCACCAGGCTTGGTCCCTAGACGGGAGATGAACAGACAAGTTGTGAACATCAAGGCACGCATGAAGAGGAGTTTGGAAGGATAAAAGAAATAAACCCACCCTTATTCTTGAGGGGTAAAGCCCTACCTTCATCTCCCACCTCCCAGCACCCCTGGCACAGGGCAGGCAGGGAGCTGCCCAGTGCCTATCAGCCTCAAGTGAGCATCACCTCCGTGAGAGGTGGAAACCTGCTCCCAAGAGCCTGTATCTCCCTTCCTGGCCAGCTCATACCTTCTTGTGCAGAATCCTTCAGCTGAAATAGCTCTCCTTCCTTCCCGAGATGTTTTTGCAGAGCAGAGACAACTTCCCATTAACATGCAACAGAAGGAGCTGGACAAGCCACAACTATCTGGGGTGGGATGTTCTCCTCGCTGGCTTCGTCAGGAAGCATCAGGCTCCGGCTCAGGCCTCAACAGCCAACACTAGTGCCTGTTGGAGGTGTTGGGAAGCACAAAACAGTGAAAAACTGCAAAACCCACACTTGCTGAACAGCTGGTGCCCAGAGCAGACACAGCACAGGGCGAGGATCGGGCGGTTTGTGTTTCCATGGCACCAAGAAGGAACACGAAGCGGGGTGGAAGCCACACAGTCTCGAAGCGAGGTGGAAGCCACACGGTCTCGTTTTGCTTTTTGCAAGAAATGTTTTGCACAACTGCTTGGAAGTTACACTGAGCCGGGTTTTGTGCTACGGCGCAAGGAACGGTGGCTTGACCACAGTCCCACGCACAGCCACGGCACAATAATGTATAAATACAGCCCCAAGTTTGCATCTAACTCAGAGGGACGAGAATTCAAGACCAAGTCAGAGGGGCAGATGGACAGGTCTGTTCTCCTCGCCCCCTCCCCAGGAGAGATGCCTTTTGGTAAGAGCTGTGACCTTCCCTACGCCAAGTGACTACCCAGGAAATCGTCTGCGATTGCAATCGGTTTCTGTTTGTAGAGCTATGTAGCCATTCTGCAGGCTGGTGCATTTATTGGTGGCCGTCTCCAAGAATCTGTAGATGTTGCATTAGAATAAACCATGCTACCCGTGAGGCTGCTTTGAACGCGGCCGGACCTGCAGCACACAGGCTGTCCCTGCAGCTGGTGTCAGGCCTAAAGTCACAGCAATAACTAGCAAAACTACTAAGAGATAAGCCGGTCCACCCCCAGCCCCTCTAATCTCTGCGGTCCAGCTAGGGCGCAAAGGAATTAATCTCTTACCAAATGAATTCATCACCTGAAATGCAACAGTGCCCAAGCTTAAAAAAAAAAAAAAAAAAATCCCTCCATACCATCAGTTTTCCATTACCTGGAAGAAAATCCTGCCAACTGTGCCCAGCTGGGCTGTTGCACTTGATCACAAGCAACCCAGCTGCCAGGTAAAATTAGTTGAAGTGCTCAGAAAGGTGTTTTAATTAGAGAGGGCTCAAACCCCATTGGTGGGTAGTAGCTGCGAGTTATCTAGGGACCATTCTCTGAGTAAGCTTTGTTGTTACTCGCGGCTGTTTGCCTGGGCTGTGGGGCTAAGACAGTGCCAGGATTTGGCTTTGAGAAACTTTGCCCTGTTTTTTTTTAATTCCTCTAGAGCTGTGGTGTGTGATTTCGGTGGCTTGCAGGGAACAGGTCCCAGTGATGAGGTTAAAAAATAAACAGAAGCAAATCCGTGATACCCACAAACCACGTCAGAGGGTAACAACAACACATGTGCATACACCTACCAAACAAACAGGTAAATATAAAGATGAGGCACTCCCCAGGATTAAATTGTTCAGCTGCTCAGGAGCACATTTCACTCATCTCTGCCAGAAGAACATGTTCTTACCGCCATCAGGTGCATTTGATGCTGTTAAACGAAAGGAATTGCACAAGTATGCAAACGTGCCTCACTGGGAGTGGGGGAACAGAACAGGTTTGGGTGACACTTGGAGTGACACCTTCATACCACTGTGCAGTTTCTTCTTTAAACTATTGTGAAGGAACTTTATATAATACAATCCAGGGATGTGCCCAGGAATTTTTACGTTCTTATGAGCCCGTACAAGTGACCTGTGGCCTCGTGGTGATGCAGCAGCCTGATGCCCAGGACTCAGGCAATCAGCAGGGAGAAGAGATGGAGGAAAGATCTTTGCTGCACTTCAGAGACAAATTTCCAGCACTGAAACTGGCCTAAAATCCAGGTTTATTGGCGCTATCCTGAAAGGAGCTCTGTCTTTGCCCTGGAAGCTCAGAGTTAGAAGTGAGGGTATTTCCCATCTGGCTTAATGACATTTTAG